ACGGGGAAGATCTGCGAGCCCGGGGCTGCCCCAGGGCCCCCTGCGAAGACACGGTAATGCCGGGGTGCACTGGCCAAGCAATTCCCAAACGGCCTTAAAGCCAACCTGGTTATTTTCTTGGAAATTTATCTTTCAGCCAAGGGATAACCATGAAGGATTCTCAAACTGCTTTAAACCCAACCTGATTATTTTCATGGAAGTTCATCTTTTAGCCAAATGAGAACCACAAAGGATTCCCAAACTGCCTTAAATCCAACCTGATTATTTTTGTGGAAGTTCATCTTTTGGCCAAGTGAGAACCACAGAAGATTCCCAAACTGCCTTAAACCCAGCCTGATTCTGTTCTTGGACATTTATCCTTCAGCCAAGAAACAACCATGAAGGATTCCCAAACTGCCTCAAATCCAACCTGATTATTTTTGTGGAAGTTTATCTTCTGGCCAAGTGAGAACCACGAAGGATTCCCAAACTGCCTTAAACTCAACCTGATGATTTTTCTTGACATTTTCTTTTCCCCTTCAACATACCGCCGGCACCGAATAAACCAGCCGCGACTGAACTTTCGCATCATTTTCCTTCCACTCCAAGAGCCCGAAGGCGCATGTACTACCGCGAGCAGTCGCTCCAAACCCCACTGATAGAAGCGTGAGGGGAAAAAAAAAAAACAAAACCGACTTAAAGCTCCCCCCGCCGGGGCCGGGCCGGGACCGCCTCTCCGGGGCGTGTCGGGGAGGAGGGACCGACCCGTCCCGGCGTTTAGAGCCGGCACGGAGGGGATCGCGGGTGGGAGCGCCCAGTCGCCGCGATGTCCCACTCGGTGGCCCTGCGTGGTCCCTCGCCGTGGGGGTTTCGTTTGGTGGGTGGTAAAGATTTCAGCGCCCCGCTGACCATCTCCAGGGTGAGCCGGGACTAGGGGGTGGGGGTGTGTTGGGGTGGGGGGTGAGCGGAGCGGGGACCGACCGCAGCGATGGGGCTGCGGGAACTCCCTTTAAAATCTTCGGGGCGGGTCTTTTAAAGTCTATTTTATTACGTATTCCCCCCCAAATACAAACAAATCAGTGCCCCCCTCTTACCGCAGCGCTGCCTCAGCCGCTCTTCCCTGTGCTGAGGCACAGCAGACAGCGTTCTCCCGGCTTTATTTCTTCGGATGTTAATTCATAAAGATCTGCTTTCAGAGTTTCTAGTGCTCAGCACTACAGAGGGCTTGGACTTGTGCCCTGGACCGAGTTCACAGGCTGTTGGTTGGGTGGTTGGTTTTTATTTTTTTTTTTTATTTATTTTAGGAAGGCACAAGTAAAGTCAGTAAGAAGTTTCTCTGCGCAGGCTGCTGCGTTGTGGGGTCCCTGTGGGCTGGTAGTAATTACTGTGTAAGTGTACTCACACTTGTATTTTAACCTCACAGTGATGTATTCTGGAAATTTCTTTGCTAAGACACCGCGGCTAGCTTCAAACAGGCTTTGTGTGTTAGCTCTACGTGAAAACAAACCATCCGCTGTGCAGGGCGAGGTGCTGTGATGGGCTGGGTGATGGATGAGGTGCTGGGCACGTTACTGCGGGCGCTGGTGTTTTCATCACCATCGGGCTCCCCGGGAAAGGGCCGGACACCCAGAGCTGCCCTGCTTGGCCCAAACTGTGTGTTGCTGAACTCTCCCGGGCAGCCGCTGCTGGAGCGCTTGAACAAAAACACCGAGAGGATTGAAGGGCTTTGAAAGGAGCTATAGCTGAGAAATGTTGCCATAACGCGTGCAAGCTGTTTGCTGTCTTTTCAATCCTCTGCCAAAGCTGTGACAGAAAAGGGAAAACACATACCCCGAGTTTGAAGAAATAATTATGGAAGAGAGTGTGTTTTAAACAAGCTTGGTTTGTATTTGAGTTCAAATGTGCCCATTACACAGCTTCATGCCTCTGGTTTTGGGCTGTCTCTTACCAAGTGTCCCAGCCAGGGCTTTTTTGGAGGAGTAGCAGGAGGAGACGGATGGAGAGGAGGGAAGGCTTGGCTGGGGGAAGGCCGGGGTGGTGCAGGGAGCAGCAGCCGACAGGGTTGGGCAGGCACCCGCACACAGCTGGGGTGTCTGTGCTGAGCAGGGAGGCTTTTGGGGCTCAGCGTTCACCTCCCAGGCACGGGGAAGTTGTCTTTCTGCCCTGGTAATGTGGGATGTATCACAACAAACCACCAGATCGCCTCTCGGTGGCTGTAAAAACGTTCCCATTGTGAAGGTGGACGTGTTCATTTAGCCAAGGGAGCCTGTTTTCCTGTTAACTTTGAAAACAGTTTGGTTTAATGTTAAACAAGAAAAAACAAAGTCTGCTTTTGCCTAGGCAGGTGGCTTCCCAAATTCCTCGTTTGATTCAGCAAACCTGGGAGGTGTGAGGTTAATTCTCATCAGGCCAGTCATGCTTTGGATCATGATGAGCTGTAACACAAGTAGCAGTTGCTGAGTGTGGCAGCCTCTTAAATTAAATCCTTTTTGATTTCTGCTCCCACCGAAGAGAGGAGTGATGCTCTGATGTGCTGGACTCTAACAGCTGCTCCCCGAGGGTGATAAACAACGCGCTGGGGTGTCAATCCGGGTGGAGGGTGCTCTGCTTGGGCTCTAGTCTCTCAACACAAGAAGAGACCTCACTGGCTTTGGAAATAATAGCTGGAAACGTTAAAATTGGGGAAGAAGTGGCTTCTGCCGTAGCTCCCAGCAATGGGGATACAGGAAGGGGCTGCTGGGGGCTCCCTGGGAAGCCAGCGCTTTGCTGGGTGGTGGGTCCGTGCAGCTCTGCCTCTTTGGAGAGGGCTGAGTGTGGCTGGCGTGGCGCCATCTTCACTTTTGTTCTGTCGCTGTCTAGTTAAACAATTAGTTTAATTGTCTAACAAGGAGATCTGTTCTTTCCAGCTCGAAACCTGGGCAAGGGGGCTGGGGGCTGCAGGGGGGAGCCTCTTGTAGCCTAATGGTTGTGGGTTTTGACTTCTGCTTAATAATTTATATTAAAGTGCCATTTAAATTACAAAAATATTTTGAAAAGCAGGAATTCTGTGGGGAGGTGGGGCCAGACTCTGGGAGTCCGACATCCAGCAGCGAGGCCAAGATGCTGACATGCTCCAGGTGGGATGGGCTGCCTGGGGGGGGGGCAGGTTTGCTGCACCCCTCTTCTGTGCCCAAGGGGGGCTGAGAACTGACGTGCCCCAGGGTGCTTGGGCTGTAGCTCTGCAAGCAGCCTACCTGGACTAGTTATGTTGGGAATCCGTAGGTTGCAGTTTGGGATTTGAGGCATCCAGAAGCCACCCACGTTCAGTTCTGGGTGCCAGAGGCTGGCTGCCTGCTTTTAAAACACAAGTTCATGTGTAGAAAAAAAAAAAAAAACAAACCCGAACAATTATTTAGTCATTAATAGGTCGGTCTTCTCTGCTCTTTGCTAAGCTACTACAGGAAACAATTTCTCCACAGGCCCCTCACAATGCTTTGCTGCCTGCCAGGGGACCCTAGAAGGGTGCAGCTGCTTCCCCAAAGCCTGTCGGAGCGTCCTTGCTCCAGGTGAAGCGAAGGCAAAGGTCCTGAATGTTGCGTTAGTGAGATCTGAAGCTGAGGCATTACTGCTGGAGGGGAAATAATGCAGCAGTCAGTGTGAAGCTGAAGGTAGTCCCCAAAAGTGGCTTGTGGCAGCATTATCCAGGGATAAACTTGAAAAAACATGGATTTGGCAGCAAGGAAAGTAATGATCACCCAGTCCTGCTTTGGAATGGGACTTGACTCACTCGGCAGGACTTGCTTTAGCCTGTAGCCCCCTGTGAGGTCACTGCGTTTGTGCAGGTGCAGCTGATGGTGTTGAGCCCGTCCCCTGCAGCTGTTTCAGATACACTCACGAAATCAAGGCGTGATGTGTTTTCCTTGAGAGCAGGTCACCTCCCTCTGTGGTTTGATCAGTCTTAAGCGACAAGTGGTAAAGATCTGATCGCCCAAATGAGTGGGAACAGCTGATGCTGAGCACTGCCCTAGAGAGACCAGGGCTGCGGCTGGAATCTTCAGTATTCAGGCAAGAGAAATACAAACCCCGAAGGGTGTGCTTAGGGCATCTTTACAAGTGGTCACGTAAAAACCTAGGTGTGTTAGCTGCCCTTTTTCCCCCCCCTGTTTCTTCTTGCATTTTTGGGGGACCCAGATGAGCAGGGTTGGAGTTTGCTGGGCTGGTTTGGAGACAGTTTGGAGAAACCCACAGTTACAGTCAGCTAACACCGGGTGTAGTACATCACATAACTAATAATGGTGCCTCCTCCTAGTGATATTTATAGGGGTAGGGGAATGACCTAAAACATCTGCTTAGAGTTGGCCTTAATGACTTGATAGAAAGTGCTTTTAAGACTTAATCTGGTAGCTGACAGCTGTTTTTCCTTGATTGGGCAGGTTAACAACTGGAGATTGCGCTTGCCCTCTGTGGGAAAGGGGCTTGGACTCAAGGTAGCAACAGCATTGCCTTTGACCAGCGGTGGAGTAACTTACTCAGCTGCTCTCAGTGTTGCGCTTGTAACCACATCAGTGAGTGCTGCGGTTCTGTGTGGGATCACAGTTGATGTACCCCTTGCCTGGGATTAAAAGATAATCAGTCATTAGCGTAACTAGAGGAGCTGAATGCATTTAATCACTTGAACTTGCTTGTCCAGCTCCTAGACCAGTCAATGTTGTCACCTACCCAACCCTGCCGGTGTTAAGCCAAGCACTTGCTGCTTTCAGAATCATAGATAAATTGTTTGGCTAAACAGATAACTGACGAATGGACTGATTCAGGTATTTTAAAAGAAGTTTTAAATATAGATTTTTCCTTTATCTGCTGGCTTTGACATCAGTTTACTCGCTAGCAGAGCAGCAAAAATGGATTTTTCAGTGTTGTCTTGGAACTGTAACACAAGAAGGGTGAGAAATAATTGGTCTGCGATCCATTATCCAGGTATTGTTTGAGTTAAGGTTGACTTTTAAGCTTAAGTAGCTTTTGTATTTGAGCAAATACGCATCCTGTTAAAGGTTAGAATACTCGGGAAGGAATTCTGCTGAGGGAGGAATTCCAGTAAAAGTTCTCTTGTTGACTCCATTTTGGGGCAGTCGGTAAATACCTGAGTGCGTTGCTGTGATCCCACTTGCATGCAGAGTACCTGCTCCGAGCAATAATTTTTGGGGTGGCCTGCGAGGCTCGTTCTGGGGGGTTTGGGTGGTGGAGCACGAAGGGCTCTGCAGGCCTGTGGCAGGGCAGTGCTGGGGGTCCGGGTTTGGTTACCCCAGGAACTCCACCTTTGTCGGCAGAGAAGGCAAGAGCCAGAGATGCCAGCAAAGGGAATGGGGCTTTTTTTTTTTTTTTCTTTGCTTCCCATAAGGTTTTTTTCCTGGTTTTATGTGTAGCTGGTATGTATTTGATTGTTTATTAAATGGACAGGATGCACTTTCCATCCAGAGCTCCCAAGTGGACTGGAGAAGTTGCTCAGTGTCAGTGAATCCCACCACTGGGACCCCAGCTGAATTCTGCTGACTTCTAGTGCTTTTATTGCCTGTATAGAGGTGCTGGCTCATAACGTTTGCTATAACATAATAGTTCAAGTGGGGTGATTCCTTTTAAGTGGAAGGAGATAGTTTTGCTCGTTGGGTTTTTTGGGTCTCATCATCCTTCCCATGACTGCTTGTTGTAAAGTCTGGAGGGAGAGGTCTGGGTGGTTACACTTGAAGCTGTAGTGGTGCTTAACAGTTAATCTGAACTACAGGTAGGAACTGAGGAGAGTATGTAACAAATATACTTGCTGCTGAAGTTATTCTATCACTGAGGCTTTATTTAATAACTGAAAGAGAGGAATAAATGCTTGTGCTGGTTCAGGAGACAGTAGCGGTAGAATATGCTGGAATGAAAGCCTAATGCTAATTACCATAA